GCCCCCGAGGTCGAGAACGGCGAGTTACTCCCGCGCTTCTGGAGGAGGAAGCACCCCAGGCGCGAGTCCGGCGCACCCGACCGCTATGTCCCGTAGCAGTAGGCGATCCTACCAGGACACCTACTACGACGGCGACTACAGCGAGCCGGCACCACGAAGATTCCGCAGTTACGACGAGTTTAGTCAAGGTAGCGGGGCGAGCCACGACGACTACCAGAGCAGCGTGCTCGGCGACGGGAAGTTGAACGACGACGATTGTCCGCCACCGTCGCGTCGCCACGCCGTGCAAAGCGTCGTCACCAGCCGGCTCCTCCGCCGCCGTTGTTGCCGCCGCCGGATATCAGACACCTTCAGAAGGAACGGGTCCACCTGCTGGAGCAACTCGAGGAGTGCCACAGCAGCGGCGACGAGGTCGGTTTCGCCCCGAAGAAACGAGCGAAACTCGATGGAACGTCCACCACCACCATACTGTGCGAGGATGACGAACCCGAGATCGCGTCGTTGCTCGTCACCTCGCACTCCAGTAGAAAAGGCATGGACATTCGGCGGGTCAGTGACAGTAAAGTGGTGGTGCATCACGGTACGCGAAGAGGGAGCTGCGAGGGAAGGGGTCCTGGACCTTGCAAGCGACGACGCGATGTTACCAGCAGGTATGCGTCTTCATATATAGCACTAGATCGTCTAACGAGAAATACATTTCGCGTGGTCGTTTATTCTACTTTCGAGGTGTTTGATCTTCGCTGAATCGATTTTGATTTAGTTTAATGCTGTCCGTGCTGACCTCCGAAGCTTAGTTTGTACTCGTAGTCATAGCACAGAAATGCTGAACCGATGTTGAGTTGCGTGTAAGAAACGAATACGCTAGCGTCCTTTCATCGTAAATAAGAAAACGATACAGCATTCGAAGATCAATTACAAGGACTCGCGTAATGAAACTAACGAGTCGATTAATTTCTGATCAAGGCATCACGAACATCACGATGGATCGCGGCCAGGCACACCTCTAGTCGACGAAAGGCCCGAAAACTTGGTACCCAGCGAGCCGAGGCGATTTCGCGAGAGGAGTCACGATGGGCCACTGTCATTGCCGTTGCCGAGATTCGCGGCGCAGATGTTGAACAGCAACAACAACAGCAGCAGCAACACCGGCGGTAGCAATAGTAGTAACAGTGGTAGCAATCGATCGAGTAGCGGGAATTTGGCGAAAGTGACCAGTCCACCGTGCGCTAACCTGTCCTCGACTACGCCCAGTCCGAGAACCGCTCCTCAACCGCCTGCTTCGCCGCCGCCTCGTCATCCCAGCCCGAGCCCGACGAGCTCCGACAGCGAGACGGCCCCGCAATCGCCCAGCCTCGAAGAAAGGATACGCTCCCTCGACGAGAAGTACGAGAAGTGGTCCGGGTCCAGAGCGCTGAGCGCGGCCGGTGGCGACGCGTTAGCGAAGCTCGACGCCACCGCGTCCGAACGTTTTAGGTTTCGCCACAAGCTTCTCGACTTGGACCTGCACGAGGTGCAGCCGTCCGACATCGTTAAGTCGGTTCTTGCCAAGAGGAGCGTGTTCGACGAAGACTCGAAGCGTCTGGAGAACTTCAGCGAAAAGTACGAACCGAGAGAGTTCACTGGCGTGATAAACGTCAGCTCGATAATCGGCAGCACGAGCGGCCTCGCATCGAGCGGAGGTTGCACCAGTAAGGTTTGCCTGCAGTATCCATTTCCTAGTCATCCGCCGGTACAGCCGACCAGCAGCGCCTCTGCGACCAGTCAGATCGGCACAAGCACGTCCCTGTCTTCGAGTTTAACGACCACCATGTCGTCCATGCTGAAGACGGACCCACGGGCGACGGCGCAGCACAATTGCGTCCACCCGACACCAGCAACCCCCATCACACCCGGCACGTCGATCAAGACTGTTAGCCCCGAATTACCACCGGTTTCTCTACCGATCGGTATCGGTAGCGGAATGGCAGCCAGTAGTGGCAATAGTAGTGGTTTAGCGTCAGCGAGTAGTATTCTTAGCAGCAACGGTAGCGTAAGTAGTATTCACGTTCTGGGTGCGTCGACGACACGAGGGTTGAGTACCGCTGGTTCCTCGTTGGTGTCCGCGGTCACCACATCGTCGACGTCCTTCTCGACGCCGATCGTAGCGACGGCGGTCGCGACCACCACCACGGCTACGACCACGTTGATGACGACCGCTATCACGCCGGTAACGACCACGGTCTCCAGCACGACATCGAGCGCCTCCTTGTCGAATAGTCAGTATCAAACTTCCATGTCCACTACCTCCTCGACGCTATCGTCTTCCACGACGTCCTCGTCGAACTCTTCCTCTCTCACTTCGTTGTCTTCGTCCAGCAACGATAGCTCCCGATCTCGGCCGAGGAAGGAAATCAGCAGTAGCGGTCGGGAGAGCAGAGATTCTCGCGACAGTAAAGAAGGCGGCAGGGAGTCCAAGTACAGTAAAGGAAAAGATTGCCAGAGAAAATCGCGAAAAGAGGATGCGGACGTTGAGAGGAACCGCAAAGACCGGGAGGAGAAGGAAAGTTCTGCCGTGGCGAACGATACCGGCGACTCCGACGGTCATCCTAGAGAGAACAAAGAAATACGTTACGAGAGAAAAGAGAGGGAGGAGAAGGAACGAAGAGAGAAGGATGATCGCGAAAGGCAGGAACGAAGGGAGAAAGAGGATCGCGACAGACAAGAGCGCAAAGAACGAGAGGAGAGGCGAGAGAAGGACGAGGAGAGACGGGAACGGGAGAGGTTGGACAAAGAACGGCAGGAAAAGGACAAACGGGAACGGGAAGAAAGGGAACGAGAGCGAAAGGAAAGAGAGGAGAATGAAGCTAAAGAGAAAGAGCGAAGAGAGAAGGAGCGGTTGGATCGCGAAAAACGAGAAAGGGAAGAGAAAGAACGCCAGGAGCGCAGAGAAAGGGAAGAACGAGAGAGGAGAGAGCGCGAAGAACGAGAAAGAAAGGAACGCGAACTGCGACTGGAACGGGAAAAGCAGGAGAAAGAACGGCTCAGGAAAGAGAGGGAAGAACAGGAGAGGCGAGAGAAGGAGGAACGGGATAGGTTGGAGCGCGAGAGGAGGCGAGAAGAGAAAGAACGGCTCGAGAGGGAAAGAAAGCGCGAAAGGGAGGAGAAAGAACGACTCGAGAGGGAACGAAGAAAAGAGAAAGAGGAGCGGGAACGAGCCGAGAAAGAAAAGCGCGAAAAAGAAGAGAGGGACAGGCTGGAGCGGGAAAAGCACGATCGGGAAAAGAGGAGAGAGCGCGAGGACCAAGAGAGAAGGGAAAAGGAAAAGTCTGAGCGCGAGAAAAGGAGGGACAGAGAAGAGAAGGACAAAGAAAAGAGGGATCGTGACGAGAGCAGACGACAACCCACCGAAAATCATCTCCATCAGTCCGTGTCACAGTCTCAGAATCAAATTTCCCCAGCTCCCGTGTCCATCAAGCGGCGATGTTCGTCGCAAGACGGACCCACGGAGGACGAAGCGAAGCGTATGAAAATTTCTGACCATCGCAGAGATAGCAAAGATCGGCCTAGACAAAACAGGAGGTCCGAGGATCGCAAACACCGCAACGATTCTCATCGTTCCAGTCGCGAGAGCAGGGAGAGTCGCGACAGCAAAGAGAGCAGCGGGTCAACGCAGACCCAAGACGGCAGAGAATCCAGCCACGGCGAATTGAACCGGGAGTCCAACAGGGAGTCGAACAGGGAGAACAGAGAGAATCGGGAGAACAGAGAAAACAGGGAAAACAATCGGGAGAGTGGTAAAGAGAAACAACGAAGTAAACGAAACCGTTCGGAGAAGGAGTCGAGAGAACGAAGCCCGAGAGTGTCCCACGAGTCGGATAAAGAGTTCCTATCGAGACTGGATCTTTCGAAGCGCAATGATTCGAACTCGCCGAGCGATCAGACCACGGTCAGCTCGAATCATTCCCGAGAGATACAACAGCATCATCAGCAACAGTCTTCCCTGAACTTGCACAGCGACGTGGACGACGGTCCATTGTCCACGCACGAGATGCAAGTAGCCAGGCATCCATCCGCCACGGACACGGACAGTGACGAGCCGAAGAAGCACTCGATCTTCGACATCGTCGACGACGAGCCCGCTTACATCAGTATGTACGACAAGGTGAAAGCACGCTCGACCAAGAACATGCAGAAGCTGGAGGAGAAACGTCAGGTACGCCTGAAGGATAAGTTCTCGCAGCTGAAGCAAAGTCGAGCGAGGCGGGAAGAGAAGAAACAGAGTACGTCATGGGACGGCGACTCGGTGTCCAGCAAGGCCTTGACGGAAGATGAGGCGACCTCTGAATCCGACTCGGCCAGGGCCAAGTCCCTATCCAGGAAGAGCTCGCGATCCCGTATCCATTCGGATACGAGCGAAGAGGAGGAATCGTTCAACAACAAGATTCGGAAGGTGAAGACCGAGAGGTTCCTGGAGAGCGATGTCGATCTCGGCTTCGCGGACACCGAGGAGAAGCACAACCCGCTGGAGACGACGAACGTGGTCGTGAACAGCGTTCATCCGAACGTGAAGGAGGAGCCCCGCACATCGGACGACGACGAGCGAATCTCCGTTCCCTTCCGTGGAAATCATCCGGCTATCGTGGTGAACAACCACGACAGGGACTCGCGTAAGAAGTCGCACAAGAAGAAACAGAAGAGACAGAAGAACTCGTCTATGTCGAACGAGGAGAGCATAAAGACCGAGTCCTCGGAGAACATTGAGCACAAGAACAAGTCCAATATCGTGACCAGTAACGTGGATTGTCGGCCGAATCACACGTCGGAGTCCATCAACGTCAGTACGACGCCCACGTCGGCAACCACGGTACTGGAGAGCACGGAGGAAAGGATACGCTCGGATAAGAAACAGCGGAACAAGAAAGAGAAGAGGAGAGACAGGAACGGAGAAGAAAAGGCTAAGGCAAGGAGGAAGAGGCTGAACAGACAGGAAGCTAGGGACTCGCAACGAATGGAGGACATCTTCGGCCCGCTCTCGGACGACGTCGACGATGGTCCGTCGAACACGTTCTTCAATCGACTGGGTAACATCACGTCGGAAAATAACACCTACGCGTCTGACAGCGACGGTGGTCGCAGTCCAGTGTTGGACGTGGACCGAGTCAGACGGAAAGCGGAGAAGAAACAACGTCGTCTTCCGCCCGAAGACGAGAACAGCGTCGATCTGGCCGAAGCGGGACGAGAGATCGAGGCGAAACTTCTGGGACTACCGAACTCGCCGAAATCGGCCGTGGCGTGCACGGAAAGCAACGACCACGACGTATTTCGGTTCACCGACGACAACGACAGCGTCGAACCATCCACACCGTCCGCCATTCCGGAGAAGGTTAAAGAGAAGAAGAAGAAGAGGAAAAAGTCGAAGGAGGAACGTAGTAGAAAGGATTACCATCACCATCACCATCATCATCACCACCATCACGAGAAGAGCGGCGAGTTACCCTACTTGGGTGCAGATCCTAGTCCTCCTAGAGCCAGCAGTCCGTTAATTCCTAAAACCATGTCGCCTACGTTACCAACACCCAGGGATACCTTGCTGAGCCCGATTCCGAAAGTCGCGACCAACGTATCGACAGTACCTTCGATGACTCCTCCGGTGGTGACCGGCAGCATTCAGACCTCGAAGCCGGACAAGAAGAAGGACAAATTCATTCCTGGATTTGGCATCGAGATCGACGAAACCATCCACGAGAATGCAGTGAAGAGTATTTCAGAACCGGAAGAACGCGAAAACAGCTGTCAGTCTCGCAGCGGCAGAGAGGAGCCTGACGTAACAGCCCCGACGACGCCGCCCACTCAGACCGAAGATAAACCTCGAGTCGCCATTTCTCAGGAAGAAACCGAAGACGCTGTGGCGGCGTTGTTGGAGGAAACTTTCGGAGGATCAACGGAGGACTTCTCCTACGAGGGAGAAGAAGAAGACGCGGAAGCGGAAGACGCGGTGGGAGCGTCGGCCGAGACTCCTCAGGAAGACGTTGAAGAGATGCAACAGGCTGTCGAGAGTCTGAACGCTTCTACCGGCGAAGGCGAGGCAGACATGAAACCGGACACTCCCCAGAGCGAACATGATCTGCAGATAGACACGGACACGGAGGAGGATCCGAACTACGAGACATTCGACTTGACACAGCCACCGAAAACACCAGACATTCCATCGTTCTATAAATCTCCCACAAAGACCATCAACACTATTGCTCCGTCCTTAGCCTCGACGGAGAAACCGATCGAGCCGCGCATATCGTCCATAACCACGAAACCAGAGAGTCCACCGACGACCGTGATCGCTCATTCTTGGAACCTGAACGAGAAGCCGCGAGAGCCGGCGAAGGCGGTGCAAATCGAGAGCGTGGAGACGAACGCGAGCGCAGCTAGCCCAGAGAGAATCCCTGTACAGGCGCATCGTACTTCGACATCTCCGCCTCCGCAGTACAAACCACCAGTTCTGGGCCTGTGTAGCGTGCCCATTACGAGCGAGACACCTAGAATCGCTGCAGCTAGTCCTAGACCACCACCTATCAGCGTGCAATCCTTGTACCAAAAGCTTCCTGTTTCGCCGCAATCGCAGATGGTGCCGATGCGACAAGCTTCGCCTAGAATGCCAAACATCTCCGCAGTCTCCACATCGGCTTCTTCCAACCAGACACCTCTGCCACCACTGGTTCCATCCAGGATTCCGCCTCTGGTACCGTCGCAGCTATCACCGAGGGTTCTGCAACCTCTGTCGCCCAATGGACAGTGGTCAAGGAACTCGGCTTTGAGTCCGCATCTTCCGACTGTTGGAAAACCGTCTCCACCTCCTGCTAGAATCGCAGTCAGCGTTTCTGTTTCTACCCAGAGACTAGAGACGCCAGCTCAACAAATTTACTCTACGGCTGCGACTCAGCAACCGGTTATCCAGCATGCTCCAGGGATGAGAGCTCTAGCGCCTCGAGGAGGTTTGCCGCCGTTGACGTTGAATATTCCACACCGCCCTTACATGCCTGTTCCACCGTTAGCTCCTGGAGTGCAGGTGAAGAGTTCCAGGGACTCGACTCTAGGCGGCAAATCCGTGATCGAAACGTTGCTTCCTGTGAACCCGAACGAGCCTCCGCAACGTCTAGAAGAGCCTAAGTTGTCGCCGGCGGTTATTCCAGAGCCCACGAACAAAGCATCCACGTCTCCTAAAGTTCCTTCACCTAATCAGCCGCCCACGTACATTCCTGAGACGGCGAAGATCGAAATTAACGCCAGCACGTCCAGCCCTGTTTTTGGCAAGCCTACTTCTATCGTGGACACGTGTTCCCTGTCTTCGAGATCTCAGAAACAAATCCAAGGTTCCATCACGACGGACAATAATCTACTGTCGCCCAGGCAGAAGCAGGAAATGTCGAGTCTTCAGCTTCTGACCACGCACGTGCCGCGTTCCTCCACGCCCAGTCCTGTAATAGTCACGCACGGACAGCCTCATTTGGTCCACAAGTCCGTGGTGCACAGCATCGGAGCAACGGCCGTTTCTTCGGCTAATCAACCGTTAGTCAAGACCGTTGTGCCGATCGTGTCGCAGCAAATCGCGTCTACGGTGACGGTTTCTATGGCTGAAGAGAAGTGCATCATCACGTCGTTGCCTTACAGTAGTAGCCAGAGACATTCGCCAGTCTCGCAGAGTAGCCAGCCATCGAAACTTCACATTCCATTGGTATCCACCGTCTCTCAAGCAATCATAACCAGAACAGTTCCCTCCACCGTCTCTTCCGTATCGGCTTCTCCGACCAACGAGCAGAGCACCGTCGAGTGCTTAGAAACACGCGTACCACCTGAACAGGAGTTGGAAGTAGACGCCGATGCACAGATAGCGCAAACGGCTCAACCCATGCAGCTAACTCCTCCTATACAGCCCACTCAGCCGATGGACGTCATAAAAGAAGAACCTCCTCCCGAGATAAAGGAAGAAGAGACCGCGATGAAAGAGGAGTTCCCTAAAACTGAGCCAGAACATCCTACGAATCAGCCTAGCACCAACGTGGATACGAAACCGAAGGTGGAACAACAAGAACCGGTTAAATCGGAGCAAGTACCATGCGTGACCAAAACTGAGGTTTCCGACGACAATCTCCTCGTTCCGAAAGTGGAAGTCGAAACACCCGTGAAGACAGAGCCAGTGATGGAGATCAAGAAAGAAGAAGTGAAGGAGAACGAGGAGGTTGATATGGAGGAGGAACCAGTGGAGGATCCACTGAAAGAGCCTAGCACCGATCCATTGGCCATCGACGTGTGCAAAGAAGATCCAGCCGACAGTAAAGAAGACAGCGACTACTGGTCTGCGAAAGAGGTGAACATCGAAAGCGTTATCAAGAAGGTCGATGCTCTTTGCGACGGAGAAGGTAACGACGATGGCGACGATGAAAATCAGCACAGTCAAAACACCAGCAGCGAGACGCTGGAGCAGTCTAAGAACGAGTCCGACTGGTTCAGTGCCGACTCCACGGCAGAGAGCGAGACCAAGAAGACGTTCACCGCGAACGACGATCAAGATGAAGGCGTGGAAACTTGCGAGAGCGAATCCACGAGGATTCGTCGTGGTGGTAGAACGAAAAATAAACGGGGTGGTAGTCGTGGAGGAGTGACAACCAGAAGAAGCAGCAGAAACACGACGAGCGTTGCACACAGACGAGGAGGCAGAACACCCAGAGGAAGCAAGCACCACGTTGAAAAGAACAAGCTGCCGGCGGATGTCTACGAGTTCCACGACGATAGCGAAGAGGACAATGCTGGACGTCCACGACTGATTCTCACGATCAAGTCCCCGGTACCGAGCGTGACCGGTCCTAACGCGCCGCCAGCGACACCCATAGCCGCCGTGAAGGAAGTGCCACCCGAGGAGTTCGTTTCACCAGCTACGAATACCACGAGGAAGTCCAGAAGGTTGGCCGAGAAGGACGGCAGTCGAAACACCATCGACGACGTGATCGAATACGTGGTGCGTGGGTCGACGACGAAGGGAGTGGTCGGTGGAAGCACCAACGTCCACGCTACTAGAAGGAGTACGAGACATAACAACTCTTCTCGTAATGTACAGTCCACCGTGCAGTTGACGGAGCACCGGAAGTCGTCGAGGGGTGCACGGAAATCGGTGCGACGAACGTCTGAGAACAACGACGACAGTAGCGAGGAGAAGATCAAGGAGGTACCACCAGCACCTCAAGAGATGCAGAGCAAGGAGGAGAGTGTTCCACCTCGGGAAGAGACACCGAAGACGGAGGAGACCAGCCAGGTTGTTTCGTCGCCGACGCAGAAGCCGGTCTCGCACGAGCCGATGACGTTGATCGATCCCGTGACTGGGATGTTGATACCGATGAGGGAATCTGAGGAGGGTCAATACATTCCAGTTTCCACGGCATCTGGTCAAATACAATCCGTACCTAGAGGCACTTGTGACTCGCGGAACACGCCAGCTGCGATGATCAACGCCAGTCCCAGCACGAGCGAGGTGTTACGACCGAAACCACCTCAGCCGGAGAACCTGACGATCGCTGAAGAGCCTAAGAAAGAGCAACCCGCGGAACCAATCCAAACTCCACAGATTCAACCACAAACCAGCGTAATCACTAAACCACAGTCTCCTGCAGTCCAAGTCACCACTACCGTCAGTATTCAGCCAACAACAACGTCCCCGTCGATCACCTCCATACCTGTAACGACAGCAACAACTCCACAAATAACACCCGTTTGCACGACTCAGTCGAAACCTACGAGTTTGAAGGCTCACGTGTTGAATGCCAGCAAGCTGGCGGCACCGGTACAGCAGCCACCTCCACCGCCGCAACCAGTTGTCTTGACTAAACCAACAGTTCCCAGTGTGCCCACTCCGTCGGTGGTTCAGAACATCGTGAAACCAGCGCAACCTGTTCAGGGACTCCATCTGCAAATACCTAGCAGTCGCGTCGTGTCTCCGAGTTTGAGCCCACGCGCGAAGCAGGCACCTCAGATCAATGCAGCGAATGGAAAGGGACAAGGTCAACCGATGTCACCGGTCCTCAACAACACTGGTGTTCCACCGAACCCTAAACAACATCTTCTACAAGCGGCCAAACAGCAAGCGTCTACCATAGTGAACCTTCCTCAGAAGTTGCCCATGAACGTTCATCCGCCCACTGTGACAACCACTCCAGCACCGAGAATCCATCAACCAGTCACTCAGTCCACGACACTGAAGGGTATAAATGGACAACCACATCCTCTGAATCCGAAAGCTCACCTGCTGCAAGCCGTGGTATCGCCGATGGTTACCGGTGCTGTACCCAGTCCACCTACACAGCCACATCTCATGAACCCGCAACCTGTCGGGGTCAGCTGTTCGAGACCTCCAGCACCAAAACCACCGGTAAAAATATTTTAGATTATGACGTAGTTGAAATTTGAAGATTTGAGTGTTGTTATGGATTAATTTTTGTTTTATCAGGTAACCGGGACGATGGAACCACCAAAAGTGGAGGTGTCGATGTCTGGCTGCATCATGGTACCAACCGCGAGTCCTCAAGCACGTGGAGTACCCATATCGTCTTACGAAGGACCATTGGTAAGTAGTTCGATCTATTAATACATATGTGTGTGATTATTACTTGGAATTAAAAATATTACAGTCATTCATTTTCCACGCTTACATTAAATTCGAGTTCAGTTTATCTATCCGTATACAGTCTGTGTGTGTAACTACATAAAATGTGTATCGTCCAAAAGTGTCTCGACGAACTAACTTTGCTTGGTTTTGGCTAGCATGGGAGTGCGGGTGCTGCTCCATCACCAGGGGGCCAGTACGGACTTGTCCCCCCACATCGATCCCAGAGTCCTCCATTGCCCCCACCTGCCCATCATCATGCTAATGCTTCTCAGGTACTTACTACGCTAACTACAATAAACGTTACTACAAATAATAAAGTCACACGAACAAACAGTTCCATGGAAATAATTTACATGCGAATATCTTTTATTTAGGGTGACGTTGTGAACCACTATGGGCTGACGAGAGGCGCGGAATTACCGCCCCACTACATGCATCCACAAGTTCTCCAGTATCAGTATTTGCGTGCGCAGCAAGAAGCCTTGACAGCTCCACGCATAGCGTACCACATTCCAGGAACTCGATCTCCTCACCTACCGTTAGATCCAAAACTCGAAACTGGCATAGTAGAGGACAGTCACAGTCCACCTTTAGAGCTAAGACGCGGCACAAGAACTCCTCAAGATCGCACCACCGACAGCCCTCAAGTAGCTCAAGTGTACGTGTTGCACGGAGCAACCAGATTACCACCGCCACCACCGCAATACAACGCCGGAAGCAATCCATCGTTGACCGGGGCACCGGCAGCAGCCAGAGGCGGATTTTACGAGCCTCCGCCTGCTCACGTGCGCTCTCAGTATCCGATCGCTGCGAGCGAAGCACCTAGCGATAGAGCAATCACACCTGACAGACCCAGAAAACACCAAGTGGTCACTCCACCGCACGCTTCGCAAGTTCCACCGCAGGCAGACTCCTTCCAAATGCTGCTGCAGCGTTACCCGGTCATGTGGCAAGGACTGCTGGCTCTCAAAAACGACCAAGCTGCTGTACAAATGCATTTCGTCTTCGGCAATCCGAACGTAGCAAGAGACAGCCTACCCTGCAACAGCGATGGCTCTACTCCACCTTTGAGGATCGCTCAAAGAATGAGACTGGAACAAACACAGGTCGAAGGCGTCGCCAGGAAGATGCAGGTTTGTATTACAAAATTGTACTTGTACTTGTTAAGTTTACTCAGATATTCAGTTCTGTATTGATAAGTTAGAATAGAGCTTACTGATGTTAGCTTAGCAAATGGATTACAAATACTGCTACAAATGTAGGACATATTATTTTATTGTCGAGTGTTACTAATTGTCGTGCTTGGTTATTGTTATAGATGGATAACGAACACTGTATGCTCCTGGCGCTTCCTTGCGGTCGAGACGAGGTAGACGTGTTACAACAGAGTAAAAACCTTCAGACCGGATTTATAATGTACTTGCAACAGAAACAGGCCGCTGGAATTGTCAACATTGCTGCACCAGGATCACAACAGGTGAGTGCAGAAATATAACATTCGCATGAAATTAACGTGTTATCTACAGCGATAACCAATTTTTCAATTTTCGCTCTGTCCCTCGTGGAGTTTATAGCATAAAAGAAATTATGATAATAAAGAGTTTGTTTATTTTTATTTGCAGCCTGCATACGTAGTCCACATCTTCCCGTCATGCGATTTCGCGAACGAGAGTTTGGCTCGGATCGCACCAGACTTGTTACACCGCGTCGCGAAGATCGCCCATTTGCTCATCGTAATTGCCACGGTTTGAGGCCAACCAGTGGTCTGCTGGATTATAATCTACCTATACTTCTCGCCTTCACGCACTTGTAGGACGCTTCGCATGTGGCATGAAGCCTGGAGTGTCCCGACGACAAAGTGCAGCATCGTACAGCAAAAGAGGAGAGTATTCTGGTGGGAAATGACCTCTCCCCCAGAGATATATTAGTGACAATCAAATGGATCCCGGCGAATCGTGCCGATTTCTAGATCGTAAGACCTAAGACGAGGTACGGGGTTGTGTAAGCTGCAAAGAGAGGCTAGCGCGGTCAATGAGCGAACATCACCGTGCCTGCCTTTCTTCCCTAACCTATTTGGCGAGGGCGAGATCATTCTGGATGAAACAATGACTCGCAGTACGCCAGATCCTACTGACGACGTTTGTGAGATCGACCGACGTCACTCTTGGTCTTTCTGACAAGCGAGTCAGGCACAACCCCAGCCCTTAGCCGAAGACCTTCGATTATAAACCACGCGATGTCCTCACGAGAACCGAGAAAGGACACGAAAAGAAACCGCATCGTTAAACTCTTTAACGCTCGTCCCTCCTCTAGGAAAACAGTAAACATATTATTATCTACCGTTGCTCTAGATGGACAGTCGATTTCGTAAAAAGTAAGAAGAGATTAGAAGAGGACATTAAGAAGATGAAAAAAAAAGCTAACGTACCCCTACCACTATACACGAGCTATTTTAAGTAAGGCTTAGGTATTAACGATACTTGTATAAATTATAAGCGAGCCAGCAAGGGCATAACTACTGTGATTTTAATTATTTAACGATATATATCTCTGCGTAAAGACGAAGAAAACAAAAATTGTGAAAACATATAAAACGGTGACCGGGTACGGTCCGCGCGCGCGGTATGTGATGTGTTTTTTGTATAATACTGCTCTATATAAATACCTATGTATTATATTAAATTGTAACAATAGTTGCTGCCGCCGCTGTTGCTGCTGCCGCTCGTGTCGAAACTAGAAAGTAAAACGTTAGGATCCTAGACCTCTTAGCGAAAACGAAAAAAAAAGATGAGTAACAAAGGAGCGAAAGGACTACCGAAAAATAGTGTTTATCTCTAGTGTAATATAATTTTCCCGCAGCAGGATGTAACATATTATTATCATCTTAGCGCTATGTACATTATGAAACAAGATTTTTAATATTCTTATTTCCGATTCTTTATCATTATTATCGCTGTCATCACCGTCATTACGTATGGCTATCATTAATTATTATTATTATTATATTATTATTATTACGATTAATATCGTCATTATTATTATGTTATTATTATTATTATTAATAATATTATTATTATTAATTATACTACCACTACTGCTATTACTACTATAACTACTATACTATTATCACCACTACTACTACTATTATTATTACCACTACTCTACTACTACTATTATCGCTGCTATTGATTATTATTAACGTTACTACATCAGGCTAGTTAGAACGTACCGATCCGCACATTTCAGAAGAAAAGAAAGGAAAAGGGGCTTAAAAGTATGTCGTACTGGATTAACAGAGTACAGTATGACCGATCTCATTGACCACTGACGTCGCCCCGTTCTCGTACACTTCCATACCCCTTCCCCTCCCTAATCTCGTCCCTCTCCCCCCACGTTTTCTCTGATCCTTCGTCGCGTTCCGCGTGATAATGTCATAGACTCTAGCAATCGTTATCGAGGATAATAATGCGCTTACGTGTATAGACCAGAAAAATTATATTATATCACACGAAGCCGTGGAAGAAAAAATAACATATTAAGTAATATAAAAGGAAACTTACCTATTTGCGATATTATTGCTGCTGCGCGTAGGGCGCATGCCTCTAGAGGATAATCCCGTATGTAAAAGTATTTAGGGATTGTCGGAACACGCTCGATTCTTTGTTTTTCATCTTGTACGATATATCCTTAATTTTATTTCTTCTTTTTCTCTTTTCTTTTTTAGTTGTACTTGATTGATCGCCGTTTTTTTTATTTTTTATTTATCCAACGCGACGATTCGAACACTTTGAGAGTTTTGACCATTATCGTTTCTTATATACGTAGATTAGGAACAGCGCAAGAAGACGGCTCGTGTTCGGGCAATCCCTAAGAGAAGTAAAAACGCGAATTAATTTAAGGCAGCGCGGATACTCGTGGAGCGTGTGCATGTACAGTGTAAAAGATGCGTTGTGCATATGTACAGTGTAGAAGTATAAGTGAGCGAGAGAGACGATGAATTTAAAGAAAAAAGCATATTATATTACAGCTACGGTTTAAGTATAATAGGACGCGAACAAGACGCTCACGTCGCGGTGTATTTCTTCTTTTTTTCCACCTTTGTTTCGTGCGGAAACGAAAATTCCCTTCGTCTTCTTTAGACGTTTCTGTTTCTCCGTCTACTCTACTCGAACCTCTTCGCGTCTTTTACTTTTTCTTCTCCGTTCTATTCCGTCGTTCTTTTTTATATGTATAGAGTAATTAGAATCACCGCGAGGTGCGTGTCCTGCGTCGTGTTTTATCTATCTTGTAAAATATCTGTGAATATTATGATTTAGTTTCTTCCTATTATAGGCTACTGGTATACAAAAATGTTTATGTTACTACTTACTTAAGACGAAGAAGAAGAAATGTACAGATATCACCATTTTTGTTTTGTGTTTTACTGTAGTTATTGATAATTATATGGATATTAACGATAATAATAACTATGATTAAAAAACTTCAGCACGGCTCGACGCGTCATTTTTGAAACCCGTAATTATAAAAAAAAGGAAGGATGTAAGATTTTTCATTTGTGCGCGGGATGTTTTCATTGTATCATTTTGAGAATCTGCTCGTAGAATTTTTTCGATTAGAACGAAAGAAAAGAGGAATGCGATACTTCTGCAAAATACGAATTCGTTACTTAGGAATTTAGAAGCTGGACTTCATCGCCGTATAAAAGGTAATAGTAATATAAAAACGTGGAATAATAAAATACGTAATTTATTTGCATCTTTTGTGACACGTTACGGCTATACTATCTACTTATTTTGTATATAATCTTCGCGTATAAAAATGAAAAACTTGTTCAAATATTTGTTAAGAAAACGAATACGATTCATCTTTTTTTCATGAATAAAAAACGATTCAATTTATCGTATTAAACACGTATTTGCAACGACCAAGATATTAAAGAATCTTCGTTTTTTGAAACTTGAAACGCTGTTGTACGAATTCTATTTCTCACCCTGTTGTATTTCGCGGTCAAGGTCGATGGCTCCAGTTATGCGAATCTTCGAGTGCGAAGACTTTCATGAGGAACAGCAGCTTGGAGGAACAAGTCTGTGATAAATAATAAAATTTTCGCAAGTACTTTTGAGGACTTTTCCTCTCAGAAAGACAATTCTAGGAAGATCAAAACCTTTTTATGATTATCGTATATATAGTACCATTCTTATAATTTAATTTTACATTAAAATTTACTTTAATAATGGAACTATCGTGGTGATTTACTACGTAAAAAATTATGAAGGACAGTAAGTTAGTATAAGTAAATTAATTGAGAAAGTAGAAAGCATTTTGGATGCCTCATTCTTACACACATTTCAAAATTAGCATTTTTTCGCGCGCTGGAAACAGCATCGCTAACAGTCAACATTCCAATTGCTTTTTTTTCGAGAAACAAGACATTCTTACCTAATTTTGACAATCATAAATCAGTCTACGGGTAGAACAAAGTAAGAAAAGTGGCTTTACAGTGAGCTCAAAGCATTATTTTTGAAAATTTCATAAACTGCGAATTATGGACTAAAAAAAGCCTAGCCATCTAGCGGTGAAAGTTGGAACTACAAAAATATAAAAATCCAATTTTCAGCAAAATTAGCGAACTTTAACTATTTTAGGGGCTTGAATACTGTTATCTGATTAAATTAGAAGAGAAATAATGCCATAAAAGCTTGCTGAAAGCTCTGGAAACGAAAATAGAAAAAAGGAAATTTTATGGGGAAAAGTACAGCGCCATCTAGCGGCGAAACAGGTGAACTAAAAGCAAAAAATGCATGTCCGAATACGCATATTGGAGAAATATAAAAAGTCAGATTTCATGACTTTTTGGACATATTATGTTTCCCGAGACATTTTAAAGTAAATTTGTATTAATATTTGATGCATTTTATTGTCGATTAAACCCAAAAATCAAGATTTATTTAATTGTTATTAGGTGGTGCCACCTAGCGGTAGAAGATAAGAACTAATTAAAGTGGAGTTTCAAAAGTGTGTAGTTCACCCTGATCGCCGGAGAGATGGCGCCACTTGTTCCATCATATTATATCGCCGAAACGTCCGTGTTAATAATTAAAGAATAAGTATAATTAAGTTATGCACTGTATGAAAAGTGGTGAAAATAAAGAAAAATTTATCAACAATCATTGTGTATTTATTGTTACCTAACAAACCCAACACAATAAAAATTTACATATTCGAAAGAGAGAATTTGTATCACGAGAACATGAGAATTCCTGGAATTTGACGTCACCAAAATTCCCAGAAGTAACATGATGGATACCTCCTCACAACTTATGTTCTCCTGATACAAATTTTCAAAAATGGGTCCATGGAATTTCAAAAATCCCGCTTGGGAATTCTTGGAAATGACGTCATCAGAATTCCAAGAAGTGGCACGGATACCTCCTCACAACTTATGTTCTCCTGATACAAATTTTCGAAAATGGGTTGATGGAATTTCAAAAATCGCGTCCGGGAATTCTTGGAAATGACGTCATCAAAATTCCAAGAAGTGGCACGGATACCTCCTCA